TTACCTTTAGTTAGGTAAGATCATATCACATTTTAGTTTGCTTCATATTTAGGCTTTGAGTTCCTTGTTCACTTTTCTGGGAGTCTCCATTGCCTTTCTTTTTTCTTGTTGACAAAATGAGTGTCACAATATCCCTTAAAGTCATTCCATACGTCAGTCATCATTCTGTGTCCATTACCTATCCAGAGGCATCCCTCCTTGGGCCTCCATTCTCCTGCTGCAATTCTTGATGCTTTCTCAGTGTCTACCTGTGATTCTGGAGCTTCATTTCAACCCTGAGTTATGACCACTGTTTTCTTCTTTTGTGGTTTATACCTTCATTTTGCTGGAGTACCTACTTTAGTAGCTTCCTCAGGAACAATATGGAGAGTTATGGCTTTCTGAGCTCTTGTCTGTTTTCACTTTACTTTAACCTAATTGATAATCTGGCCAAAATTCTAGTTTAAAAATATCTTTCCCTCAGAATTTTTAAGTTAGTGTCCACTATTTTCTAGCATCCAGTGTTTCTGATGAAAAGTCTGATGCCAGTCCAATTTTTGTTGCTATGTAAGTGTTCAGTGCCTATCTTTAGCAGCATTAGGATTTTTTCCTGAAATTGTAAAGTGATACTTTTAGGTATGGATTTTTCTTTTTGTTTGCTTTTCTTTCTCTGCACTTAGTGGGATTTTTCAGTCTGAAGATGTGTGTCTTTTTCACTTTGGGGAAATTTATTTCTATTACCTATCTGATTTTTTTCTTTTGTTTTCTCTTTTCTTTTTGGATCTCCTACTAGTTGACTGTTACAACTCTAAGATTCCTCTCTGATTTTACTGAGATTTTCTACCCTTTTATCTTTCTATTTTAAATGCCTGGATATTTATTTAACTTCATCTTTCAGATCTGTGGCATTTTTAATTTTAATGATCATGTTTTCAATTTCCACGTGTTCTTTCTTGTATTTTTTTTCATAGCTTTTTATTTTAGGGGAAGAATATTCTTCTTGGATATATCTGTTTTCTTCAAAATTCCCTCTTATCCTGATTCATATTTTCTTCTAGCCAGGTTGCTCAATTTTTATTCAGGTATTTATTTATTGGTTGCTGGGTTTTGCCACAAATCTGGTGATCCTTAGTTGCTGAGTGGATTCCTCTGCCATAGGGTGTTTAGGTCTCTTTCTTGTCTGTGATGGGAGAGTGAGTGCAGCCTACCGGTACTTGCGAGCCCAGCTGATTCTTTATTCCTCTCTCTCTTTTTTTGGCAGTACTTGAGTTTGAACTCAGGGCTTTACTCTTGCTAGGCAGGAGCTTTACCACTTGAGCCACTCCGTTTTTTCTATAGAATATTTTCAAGATGGGGTCTCACAATCTATTTGCCCAGGCTGGCTTTGAACCGTGATGCTCCTGATCTGTCTCTTGAGTAGCTAGGATTAAAAGCATGAGCCACTGGTGCCTGGCTGGCCCAGCTGATTCTTGAGCAGATCTTCAGTTGGGGTGTGATATCCACACTGACAGCACTGGCTTTCCTTGGGCAGTGTATAAGATCATCTAAAACGGCCTACCAAAGATGCCTTCTCCTTCCCTTTCACTCCCTACTGTTTTTATTGTCTTCTATGACCCAGGCATCTGTGGAAACATTTTATGAACTTAGAGGAGATGCCATTCTCTTTGTTTGTAGGTATTTATTCATTTTTACCCCTTTATTACCCTTTTGTTAGGATCTTTAAAGAGGAGGGGAATGAATGGAAAGAAATGAGCCTAACAGATCATTTTATTTTTTTATTTTTATTGATTTATTTTTTTTATTATTCATATGTGCATACATTGCTTGGGTCATTTCTCCCCCCTGCCCCCACCCCCCTCCCTTACCACCCACTCCACTCCCTCCCTCTCAGTACGCCCCCCCCCCAATACCCGGCAGAAACTATTTTGCCCTTATTTCTAATTTTGTTGAAGAGAGTATAAGCAATAATAGGAAGGAACAAGGGTTTTTGCTAGTTGAGATAAGGATAGCTATACAGGGAGTTGACTCACATTAATTTCCTGTGCATGTGAGTTACCTTCTAGGTTAATTCTTCTTGATCTAACCTTTTCTCTAGTTCCTGGTCCCTTTCTCCTATTGGCCTCAGTTGCTTTAAAGTATCTGCTTTAGTTTCTCTGCTTGAGGGCAACAAATGCTAGCTAACTTTTTAGGTACCTTACCTATCCTCATATCTCCCTTGTGTGTTCTTGCTTTTATCTTGTGATCAAAGTTCAATCCCCTTGTTGTGTTTGCCCTTGATCTAATGTCCGCATATGAGGGAGAACATACGATTTTTGGTCTTTTGAGCCAGGCTAACCTCACTCAGAATGATGTTCTCCAATTCCATCCATTTACCAGCGAATGATAACATTTCGTTCTTCTTCATGGCTGCATAAAATTCCATTGTGTATAGATACCACATTTTCTTGATCCATTCGTCAGTGGTGGGGCATCTTGGCTGTTTCTATAACTTGGCTATTGTGAATAGTGCTGCAATAAACATGGGTGTGCAGGTGCCTCTGGAGTAACCTGTGTCACAGTCTTTTGGGTATATCCCCAAGAGTGGTATTGCTGGATCAAATGGTAGATCAATGTTTAGCTTTTTAAGTAGCCTCCAAATTTTTTTCCAGAGTGATTGTACTTGTTTACATTCCCACCAACAGTGTAAGAGGGTTCCTTTTTCCCTGCATCCTCGCCAACACCTGTTGTTCATGGTGTTGCTGATGATGGCTATTCTAACAGGGGTGAGGTGGAATCTTAGTGTGGTTTTAATTTGCATTTCCTTTATTGCTAGAGATGGTGAGCATTTTTTCATGTGTTTTTTGGCCATTTGAATTTCTTCTTTTGAGAAAGTTCTGTGTAGTTCACTTGCCCATTTCTTTATTGGTTCATTAGTTTTGGGAGAATTTAGTTTTTTAAGTTCCCTGTATATTCTGGTTATCAGTCCTTTGTCTGATGTGTAGCTGGCAAGTATTTTCTCCCACTCTGTGGGTGTTCTCTTCAGTTTAGAGACCATTTCTTTTGATGAGCAGAAGCTTTTTAGTTTTATGAAGTCCCATTTATCTATGCTGTCTCTTAGTTGCTGTGCTGCTGGGGTTCCACTGAGAAAGTTCTTACCTATACCTATTAACTCCAGAGTATTTGCTACTCTTTCCTTTATCAACTTTAGAGTTTGTGGTCTGATATGAAGATCCTTGATCCATTTTGAGTTAATATTCTACCAGCTCATTTTAAACAAAGAACCTTTTAAAAATAAGTTTCCCCACATTTCAAAGTGGAGAAATTTAAAAAGATCTGTTCTTCCATCACCCAGAAATAATATTGCTAACATTTTAATACATGTTCTAGCTCTTCTTGCTACGCTTTTTTCTTCTTTTTTTACAATGGGATTATACCATATGTTCTGTTTTCTAATATGCCTCCTAAACTAAATGATAGCTTTAAGTAGCTTTCCATGTCACAGAAAATTCCTGACAATATTTGAGACTTGATAGTTATCGAAAGACATATCATTATTTACTTAGCCAATCCTGTATTTTTAAACATTAGGTTATTTTTTTATTTGTTTTGTTTTGTTTTTGTGGGACTGCAGTTTGAGCTCAGGGCTTTGCACTTACAAAGCAGGTGCTCTACTGTTTGAGCCATGCCTGTGGTCCATTTTGCTCTGGTTATGTTGGAGATGGAGTCTCACTAACTATTTGTGAGTTTACTTTGTATATAATCCCAGTTGTAGAATCCCTGGGTCAAAGTATATGCAGGCCCCAGTCTTGGTTGCACATTCAGGATTCTCTGTGAAATGGTCTGACTATAACTTTCTGGCCCCAAACTTTCACTACACTCTGCTTTACTTGAGTTCCCTAAAGCATTACAGCAGAGACACTAAAAACATAATTATCAGAGTCATCCAGACCAGGGTTGAATCCTAGCTTTACCACTTAGTAAATGTGATATGACTTTGGGCTGTTTTAATGAGCCTCTCTGAGAACTTTTCCATAAAATGAGGAAATCTACTTTTTGGAAGTGATTGTTTTGAGGTTTAAACAAGATAAAAATGCATGGAAATAACTAACTACCACAGGCCCTGACAGGTTCAAAGCGTCCATAAATCTGTAATGACAGTGTTGGACTCATTTTGATCACTATGCCCATCCAAGTCCCTCTTTCAAGGCCACACTCAAGACCTCATCCTCCTCACTTCCCACTGCCTTTCCAGGCTGGCTAGTCCATGGTATTATGTTGTTAGTGCACTCTTGGGCTGGACCCTCACTCCATCTTAGAGCATATTGTCTCGTTGTTTTCACATATGAGTATGTTTGAAGAGAAACATTTCCCCTCACCAGCTGTGTGCTCTTGGCCCTTCACCACGATGTATTAATTCATTTTCATTAGTGTTCTTGGGGATTAGAGGTGAAAGTGAAAAGGAAATCATGACACAGTGTTGGCAGCATCAGGATTGGGTTTTTTTTTTTTTTGGAGTTTGTTTACAGCCTTTTGGTAGCTCAGAAGCTCTAAACACTGTCTCTGGTCCTGTTGAATAGCACCCAGCTCTAAGGACACTTGAACCCCAGTGTAATCTGTAGGCAGCAGGGACAAGGAAATCTGCTGAGCAGAAGGCTGCAGTCCTCTTGCTAACGACGAGCCACTCCAGGGCACTCTCCCAGCCGGTTATCAGCCGGTCATGCGGTTAGCAGCACCTTCGTGTGGCTTGCAAGACACTTTCCTCCCCTGGATACTTTGTACTAGGTGGTAAGTCACTTTTGTAGCCAGGAAAGCTTTCCTCCAAGCAGCAACCAGCTCACAAAGGTCGCTTTCACAACCGCACAGATGCCTCTCCAGCTGCCAGGGGAGATTGTGAAGCAGCCTGTTTGTGGGGGCTGCAATGGGAGGGGTTGATAATGGGGTGGCTTCAACGAGAGGTCCCAAAGGTGAGGAAGGGCTCTCCTAGGGAAGGTGATTTGTGGAGTATCCTCCATCACCTCACTCTAATCTTGGGTGTCTTTCAGGAGTCATGGCCGGCTTCAACATGGGAGGCGACCTCAGAGAGCCTGCTGCCAGCATTCCCCTGGGCTCCCTAGCAGCTGTTGGCATCTCGTAAGTTCCCCCATGGCAATCAGTACAAGCTAGAGAGTGGGAGAGAAAATCCCAGGCAAAGGAGGGATTGCCCCTTTTGTTCTGAGAGTGCCCCGACTGTGACCAATCTATTTCATATTCTGATCCTCCTTTTAACACTCGGTGGGCTGGAAAATTCACGTCTGGTGGGTTCAGACACTGCCCTTTCACACCCCCTGCCTGGGAATTCTGCTGAGGAAGAGGGGAGGAGGGTCATTAATGCACATCACAGACCCACTCCTTTCATTCCTCTTTCCTCAGCCCCCTTCCCCTGCCCCTTCTCCACCCTCATTTTCAACTTGGAGATTTTTTTAACCATTGAATTTCTGGGATCACTGGGACTATAAAGATGAAAAGGTTTGGAATTAGAAAGATTAGGGTTTGTATCTCAGCTCTATGGCTGATTGACTGTATGACTTTGAGCAATTCACTCAGCTCCCCAAGCTTCCCTCTCCTTTTCTATGAAATGGGGATAGAGCTGTATATGTTCCTCATGGGCCATGGAGGAGATGCTGTGTAAAGGCACACACTAGAATCTCAAAGACAGGACTCCTTCTTCACTCCACCTCCCCTGAGGCTGGCTGTCAGGCTTCTGGGGTTTTAGTTCCACTGTGCTGCCCACACTAACAGGCTGGGTAGCCTTGGGTCTGTGTCTGACCTTCTAGAATCTTCTGTTTTTCTTTCTGTACCACAAAAGGAAGGAAGCTTTTCTGCCCTTCATTGAGCTGGTGTGAAAAGGCAATGAGGGAAGAAGTTAAAAGTGCCTGTATTGAGAAGTTAAAAGTGAAGTTAAAAAGCGCCGATATGATTTTAACCATGATAGTTAAAAATATTAAATATATCTATCTACAAACACTAAATTTGTTCTTAGCTTATAGCAATGGCAGTGTTGCTACCAGCCAGGCACAGTGCAACAGGCCATTTTGTATAAAATAAGAGAGCAACCTTGAGAAGAAAATAAAAATAGCAGGAATAGAGTCTGGAGGAGGAAAGAAAAGAAAGAAGGTTCTATATGAGCACTCTGTCTTATTTTAGGTTATGGCTACTGCTCTGCCTTTTTTTTTCTTTGTGGTACTGAGGCTTAACTTAGGACTGCACCCTGAGCCACTCCACCAGCACTTCTCCGTGATACCTTTTTTTCCTAGATAGGATTTCATCAGATAGGGGTTGGCTTCGAACTGGGATCCTCATGATCTCTGCCTCCTGAGTAGCTAGGATTCACAGGTGTGAGCCACTGATGGCCCAGCCTGCTCTGCCTTTTTACACTTTTCTTCCCTCTGTTTTCTGCGACTGAGAGATCAGCAGGCTTCAGAAGCCCAAAAGATTGTTGATTAGTTCTTCTGCTGGAGAAGGATGGGGTGTGGGACTGCAGGTCAACCCTGGCCTGAATCTTGGAGACCTAGTAGCCAACTGGGCCTCTCGCATCCTCCCTAACCTCCCAGCCCCCACCTGACCCCCACTGGCATCCTTTGTGTGCTTTTCTTTCTTATGATAATAAACAAAACATTGATACCTTTTATTTTTTTCTTTTTTGGTAAGAAATATGCTGGAGGTGAAATAATACAAAAAAGTGCCCTCCCAGGTGGGCTGGAGAGACTTTATGGCAACCTTTCACTTTAATTTTGAGACAGGTTCCCGTAGGACTCAAAGGCTGAGCAGGGTGGGGCTGGGATGGGGCTGGGTGAGGTGACAGCTCTGTTCTCTCTTGGGTTTTGCAGGTGGTTTCTGTACATCATCTTCACCTTCCTGCTCGGTGCCATCTGCACCCGAGAGGCCCTTCGCTCTGACTTCCTGATTGCCCAAAAGGTGGGTGAATCCATCCTGTTTTGCCCACAAAGGGCTCCATTTGCCAGGGTCATTTATTTGTTCCCACTGACAAATGGCCACCTCCTCCTGCAGTCCTGTCTGGGAGTCTGTATAGACTTCAGCTCTGGACTAAAGTTTATGGAGGGGCCAGAAATATCAAAGAGGTACAGCTTTTGTATATGGGCCTCTAAATGTGTCACAGTGCTTAGAAAGGCACACAACTGCAGGTAACTAGATAATGGTGACACCTCTTCATATTGAAAATTGGGACAAAAACAAGAATCTGGTTACCCTGAATTTCCCTTCTCCATAAGCTCTATTTGCCAATAACTTTACTTTCTACCACAGAAAGTGCTGCTCACATGAAGCAAGTGAGAAGGAGGAGGTTGAGAGACAGAGAAGGGGGCAGAGCCCAGAGAAGTGCAGAAAGCCAGGCCAGGGAGAATGAGCCAGGGAGCCAGGCTTTTCCAAAAATCTCAGCAACTCTGGGTTGATTTGGTAGTCTTTGTTACGTGGGCATGCACCCTGCCAGAAGATTAGTGAATTCCTTGTGTTCCATAGCTTCCCTTGTAGACTGGAGGTCATGTGGAATCAAGGACATTTACTTGGCATCACTCAAACTCTCAAGAATTAGATTTCCAGCCATTTTTCTGAAAATTCCCAAAAAGTCCTGCCTTCCTTCAAGTTCCCCAAGGAAAAGTGGGCCCTGAGATTTCTGTAGTTTTCTGGGAATGGTAGTTGATTAGGGAGTTTTTCTTGCTGTTAACTCCTGAATATTGCTGCTTATATTTTAGGAAAAAGTACCTTTTGCTTTTGCTTCTGATGTGAGGCCTTGTGAAGCAAACAACCTGGCTCACCTTCACGGGGGGCCAGTGTGTGAGGCAACCAGCACAGGAGACTAGGAAATTATTTTTTAGAGATGTGTTTGGGCATGGTTTCCACATTAGCACAGGTTTCTTTTTAGGGCACGTAGACAGCCAAGTAAAGGTGATGTTTGACTTTAGGGGACTTGACCTTAGTATAAAAGCAGGTTTTGAAAGGTGGTGGTGGGGGATGCAGTTCAGGTGGTAAAAGAGCTCACACCCACCCTCCAGCACCCAGGCCACACACCCCCAGGTCATAAAGTTTGCTTTCAGGGAAGGGATCTGTCATGTCTTGTCAATCTAGATGCTTGACTGGCATGATGTACACGCTTTCATCTAGAGTTTCTTCTCTGAGGGCATTTTCTACAGAGGAATTGAAGGCTGTGGTGAGCAGCTGGAGGAAGAAGGATTGGTTTACCTTGGAGGGTGTGGGTGGAATACTTACTGTTCATCTGCACCTTGCCTGTGCTGGCTAGAAGAGCTAGCGGAATGGCTCAAGAGGTAGAGCACCTGCTTAGCAAGCGTGAGGCCCTGAGTTCAAACCGCAGTACCACTGAAAATTGAAATGTAGGAAGAATCAAGCCTTATTGTAATAAGGCAAAAAAAAGAGAGGGACATTTCCATATGTAAGTGGCATTTAAAACATTTTATCTGGTGGAGTGGCTCAAGTGGTAGAGCACCTGCCTAGCAAGCATGAGGCCCTGAGTTCAAACCCCAGTACTGCTGAAAACAGAAAAAATTTAAAAAAAAAATCAACCTTTGAAGACTCTGGTCTAGACAGCAGGAGGCAAATTCTCTCTTGGGCTGGGGATCCTCTCCTCTCCTCCCCATGCTCAGAGTGGGCATGTGGGAGGCAGGCAGCCTTATATCCAAGGAAGGCCACAATAGCAAAGGGTAAAAATATCCCCAAAGACAAAACGTTAGAGCCTTTGTGTGTGTGGGGGGGTCCAATAGTGGACATGTGACCAGAGGGAACCTTCTTTAGAATGCCTCCTGTCCCAGACAGTGACACAAGTCCTTAGCCAGTTGGCAGCATCTTCGAAGTCAGGCCTGGCCATAATATGTGAGAAGGCACTAGGGTGAGAGGTGGAGACAGAGGTTATGGAGAGGATGAGAAAACATTTTCTGGAATAGACCACTGTAAGGCCTATGAAGGAAACAAAGTGGCTGGTTTTGGTTCTCAGTAGCAAACAGGGGCAGGTGCTGTAAGTAAGTGTTGAACAGTGACAGAACTAAGCAGGACGAGTGCAAAACAGCAATACCCCACAGACCCCTCCACAAGGGACCACCCAGGGTGCTTCCTCCAGACCGAGTCCTTTCTCCTGCTTCCCAGTGTCCTTTCTGGGGTCTGACTCAGCTGCAGGGCCTGGTACTACACGTAGAAAGTCAGTTGAGCCACACGTGATGGGACTGACAGAACCTGGAGAATGGGAGGTACAGCTGCAGAGGCTGGGAGGGATAAGGGAAATGTCTTTACTTGACGGAACCTACAACCCTGCTGTGGTTTAAAAAAAAAATCCCGGGACTTACATATGCTAGGCAAGTGCTCTCCATGGAGCTACATCCTCAGCCCAAAATGGAATTTTGTATGTGTGTGTTTGGAGATGAGGATTGAATCCAGGGCCTTATATGTGCAAGGTCAGCACTCTACAACTGAGTCACACCCATAACCCCATGGTGTGGTTTTAATGAACCACTCAGCTCAGGTTCACATCTTCGCTATGGCCTTGGTTCTTGAGAGCTTTCCTAGGCCCTGAAGAAGTAAAGCTGCATCTGTCTGGGTGCCCTGACCACCATCATCTTTGGACACAGAGACCAGCTGGCCTCCGACATACTCCCTTCATTGAGCTCTTCAACCTCTCTCTCTCTCTCTCTCTCTCTCTCTCATGCTTTCTTGCCAGAACAGTTCTCTTCAAAAGCTACTGGCTGCTCTGGATTTCATTCCACTGATCTGCACCTGGTCAGCAAATCTCTTTCTTTCTGTATTTCCTGAAGCTTCTCTGATCTGTTTCTAATTATTCAGTTTCCCAACCCATACTTCCTCCCAGAAATTTCTTATTTTTAATCCCCACTCCAGTGGAACGTTTTCCTGACTCTTGGTGTCAGTCTCAGTAATCTTATGCTTTCTTAAAAGTCTTTGCTATATTACAGTGGCTCTGAGATAACCTATGAAATCACAACACCTGACACATAGTAGGTGCTTATTAAATTTTAATTCCTGTCTATACTCCTTATGAGGATACCCTTACAGATGGAGACATTTATTTAGGAATACATTTCTCTCCCCCTAAAAAATATGCCATCTTTAATTTCATAGGAAAGTAGTCAATCCCAGTATTATTAAGTGGTAAAGGGATTACATAAACAACAGTATTCGTAGGAATTAAATCATCAAATAATGTTTCAAAATAAACTTGTATACAGTCAGGAAGTGCATGTTTATTACATATCAAAAGAGCAAGTACCTTAGGAGCCTTGGGACATACTAACTAGCAGAATGAGAACAAACTAAATAGGAAAAATAAAAATGGAAAATCCCCCAGAGTAAACACTAATCCTTCCTAAATTTGACAGTCATGATTTGAAAGCTCATGACAAAACTCCCCTCAGGGAGGAGAAGACAAGGCCAAGATTGAGGCTGGTGAGTGGTCCCAGTCATCTGCCCAGCAGCCCAGCCAGACTGTCTTCTGTTCTCATAGGGACACAACACTACCTCTCAGGAGACGAAGTGGACTTTGCCTCTCTATGGAAAGTGGCTATCAAGTGAGAGGCAGAACTCAACTAAAAGCTGAGGTATTGGTTAATCTGTGGAGTAGGGAGAATACCAGAAAATGCATGTCACTGTGGAAATGTTATGTGGGAGGAAGCTGAGGAGCCACTGAGACATTACAAATACATTTGGATTGAGGGTGTACTCCTCAGGATCAGCCAGGAGCCACAGGAATTAGATCAATTAGAACGGGGCCCTTGCAAATGACTTTAAAGCCAGTCCTTCAAGAGAAGGGAGCCAATGGTGAATTGGTAAAGTCCCTCAATGGCAAAAGCTCAGAATGGATGCTGGAGAAAAATACCAAAAGCAGAGAGATGTACTGAATGTAATTAATTACTTTCATCAGTAGTTACTGAAAAAGAACATAGGGTAGTTCACACCATGGAATATTTTGGAAAGATAGCTTTTTGTGAAGCTGCAAACAGGTGTTTGACACAAGAACATCATCTTATTTTTTTTTTTAAGAACTGTTGACAGAATCTGCTCAAACAAATTCTCACTTCCACCTCCACTAGCACGTTTTGCAAGCTTTCAGTACAATATGAATGAGAAAATGACTATGTTCTGTGAGGGCTGGAAGCACAGCTGCATGGTTTACTGTTGTATCTGTAATGTCTGGCCCTGTGCCTACACCATGCCAGGAATGTAACCATTCTCAGTAAATGCTTCCTACATGGATGGATGGATGGATAGATGGATAAATGACAGATAGAAAGGAAGAGCTTAGATTCAGGTGGGAGAGTGATATATAAAATTTTTTGTAATTTATCTGAATGTAAGGGCCAACATTTCACTTATTTTGCAGCAAATAGACTGAATAATTGTTGCTATTGTTGTTTTGGTTTTTTGAGACAGGGTCTCAAAAAATTTCCAGGATGGCCTGGAACTTGCTTAATTTAGCCCCATCTGGCGTCAAACTCATGATACTCCTGCATTAGCCTCCCAAGTGCTGGGATTACAGGTATATGACACCATGCCTGGCCTTCTGAATAACAGTTTTACATAAAAAAGCAGTAAGTGAACAGGCTGTTCTATGCACAATTGACAAATTGAACATAAGCAAGTCACTGTATGTGGGCATCCACCCTCTGACCCCAGCCCCAAGGATTCTGGAGGAATCCCAGAATGTGTCTGTAAGGTGGCCAACAGTGAAGTTACCAATGTCACATACACATAGAGCCAGAGATTCAAAGAGTTCCTAAGGTCAGTCCAGCACTAGAACCATGCAAAGTATGGAGTCTCATTCCCTCTCTTTGTGAATGTACAGTCTTTTTGATTATTTGTTTGTTTGTTTGTTTGTTTTGAGACAGGATCTTTCTGTGTAACCCAGGCTGGCCTTAAACTCTTCATCCTCCTTCCTCAGCCTCCCATATGCTGGGATTACAGGTATGTACCACTATGCTTAGTTCTGAACAGGCTCTGAATGATAAAATATTTACACAAATATATATAGTCATCCTTCTGCATTCCCAGGTTCTACATCCAAGTGTTAAACCACCAGTAGATCAAAACATATTCAGAAAAAATTGCATCTGTACAGAAGATATTCAGACCTTTTTCTTGTTATTATTCCCTAAGCAATAACAATACATAAAGAATAATAACTATGTACAAAGGATTGCATTAGGTTTCTAGAAATGATTATCTAGAAATGATTTAAAGTGGACTAGAGGATATGTGGGTTATATGCAAATACTCTACCATTTTTGTAAGTGTAAGGTACTTGAGCATCCATGGATTTTGGTATTCTCAGGGTCCTAGACCCAATTCCCCAAGGATACCAAAGGATGGCTGAATAGCCCGGGGTAAGAGGCAATCAAATTTCTGCAAGGAGATCCCATCCCTCCCTCTACTGAAGAAGTCTTGGTGAGGTGAACGCAACAGATACAATGTGCAGAGGTTCTTCACACTGGCTACACGTGAGAAGCACCAGCAGGGCTTTTAAAAAATCAATGATGTCTTTATCCCACTCAATACTAATTAAATTAGAATCTCTGGGGTGATTTTTATGCAAAGCCAGAGTGGAGAGCTACTGAGTTAAATTTCCAAAATGCTTTTGATAAAATTTCATCATAGAGTCTGTCTTTTGTTGTTGTTTGGTTAGGTTTGAACTCAGGGCTTCACACCTGCTTAGGCAGGGGCTCTACCACTTGAGCACTCCATCAGCCCTTTTTTTGTAATGGATTTTTTCGAGATCGGGTCTCGAGAACTATTATGCCTGAGCTGACTTGGAACTGTGATCCTCTTCTCTCTGCCTCCTGAGTAACTAGGATTACAGGTGTGAGCCACTGGTGCCCAGCAAGTCTGTTTTTTAAACCCTGGTAACATAGGATACATTTAGTAGAGAAGATAAAAACAAAGGTTACAGATGAATGATCTTATCACAGAATGGATGGAGGATTAATCACTGGACACGTTTATCTAACAGTTTTGTAAATACCAAATGGCTCGGATCATGTAAAGTCATGAGGCTTGATTGATTTTGCTGCTGATCCTGTTTGCTGTACTCTATGTTAGGAGCTGCAGGATGGGGACATAGGTGCATGATTTAGTCTTACTTGCATGGAGCTCATGGGGGCACCAGCAAGATAAGCCACCTGCCTAACTAACTGTCCTGCAGAGGAGAAGATAACAAAATGCCACCAGAGCACAGTGATGGGAAACATCAGATGACACCAATTTCTTGTAGTAACAAAATGGTATGTGAAAGGGGAGAGGAGGGGGCCAAGAAGCCCATGACATTGAATAAAAGAGCTTTGAGATTCACTGGAGATAAAAATGAGATAATGCATTTAAGGAAAAGCAATCACACCGAATTAAAGGCAAGATGGGCTCTGTGGTGGACCCAAGTTGTATCTGTCAAACTAATAACTTCCCTGACCATTTGGGAGCAAAACCCTTATGTACTGTCTTGAAGTGATTGAGAAAGACCCCCATTTAACATTCCAAAGCCCAAAGGACCAGGCCTTCTCTTGCCTGTCACTTTGCACCCATGGTAGGGCACATGACTAAGACTGCACTTCAAGTACAAGTGTGATGAATGAGGCAAAGATAAAAAGACAGCAAGAATCATCCTCAGGGTGGCTGGGAGGCTGGCAGCACCTCGGCTTAACTACTTCTGGTTATGAGTCTGGGAATGCCTTGGCTTGACTTGCCCTTCTCCGGCCTCATCTTATAGCCTCCTGATGATTCTGTGAACCCACAGCATCCTGCACATATGGTCTTTAAAAAAAATACTTTTTCTAATAAAAAATCCTGACTGATGAGGATTCGTTAGTCAAATTCTTCTAGTGATAATTTATGAGCCAGGAAAAAGGTCTAGCCAGGGGCTGCTTGTGATCCATTTGACTTACTACCCAGATCCAGTGCATTGCTGAGCAACAAAACAAAAGTGGGGTATGCAGAGCCTTCATAAAGAAGGGTGTAAGTGACAAAGCTGAAAGTTGCATCTAACCTATCTCGTGGTTGGATAAATGAGCACTTGGAACACACAGTCTGTCCACTGTGCCTAAAGTAAGATAAAATGGAGAAGGCATCACCATTATTAAGAAAGCACGGAGGCTTGGATTGGTATGGCTGAGGATTCTTGGCTCAGCATGGAGGAGCTGCATGGAGAAAAGCAGTTATTGTCCACTCCAGGAAGCACAGCTCTGACCTCTCCTGTTCCACCTGTTGGTTCCTGTGGACCAAACGAGTCCTTGACCCCACTCATTCTTTCACTCATTCGTTGATCTGAATTAGGCACCAAGCACCCCGGTGAACAGGACGGGAGACTTACCTAAACGAAACCTGCAGGTGGGTAGAGGAGACAATACGCTAGGTGCTGCAGAGCACTGAGGAGCAAACACTGGTGTGAGGCTGGTGGAGGACGGCCTCATGGAGGAGGTGAGGCTTGTGCTGATTTTTTTTTTTTTTTTGGTGGTACTTGGGTTTGAACTCAACCATGCCCCCAGTCCTTTTTTGCTTTAGTTATTTTTTTTGATAGGGTCTCATGGTTTTTCCCAGAGCCAACTTTAGACTGTGTCCACCTACCTTTGCCTCCTCGTAGCTGGGATCATAGATATGTACCACCATACCTCGCTTCTTTGTGGAGATAAGCTATCACTAACTTTTTTCCTTTGGGCTGGCCTTGAACCAGTATTCACAACCTTCTCCTCCAGAATAGCTGGGATTACCAGTGTGTGCCATCACACCCAGCTGTGCTGAATCCTGATGATCAAGCAGGAGTTTAATAGACAATGAGCAGATTAAGGGGTATGGAGAGAGGGTTCCATCAGGTAAAGAAATCATGCTGACCAATGACTGTGTGTGTGCAGGGTGTGGGGCTAGAGAGGTCATGGACTATGCAGGACCTATGTTTCAGACCAATGGGAATTGTTGATATGTTTGCACAGGGGCATTGGGACCAGCGTTTAGAGATGTCACTCTGGCAAAAGCCTAGGTCATTTAGTCCTAGGGAATGATTCAGGAGGGAGCACTTAGAGGCAGGAGGCACCTGGAATTGTAATTGACCAGTAGATCTTAAAGTGTGGTTCCAAGGCCGTCAGAATCAACACGAGAACCTGTTGGAAGTCTATATTCTCAGGCCCTACCCGTAAGGGTGGGGCCCAGAAATCTGTGTTTTTTGTTTTTTTTTTTTTCATTTTTCTTTTATTATTCATATGTGCATACAAGGCTTGGTTTATTTCTCCCCCCTGCCCCCACCCCCTCCCTTACCACCCACTCCACCCCCTCCCGCTCCCCCCCTCAATACCCAGCAGAAACTGTTTTGCCCTTATCTCTAATTTTGTTGTAGAGAGAGTATAAGCAATAAGAAATCTGTGTTTTGAGAGGCCTGTAGATGAGTCTGATGCCCATTCAGTTTGAGAACCGCTGTGCAGTCCACATGAAATGTGAAGCTGGCCTAACCTGAAAATAGTGGGATGAAGTAGGGTGGGGCCAGGGAATAGAAAATCTAGTCCAGAGGTTGGATCTAGAGGTCTGTGAGTGGGTTTTCAGGGAGTTCCTGTGGTTTTCCAGGGTAGTAGAAAGGTCAGAAGCAGGATCTGGACAGGTGTAGTGGTGTATACCTATAATCCTTGTACTTGAGAGGCTGAGGCAAGAAGATCACTAATTTGAGACCAATCTGGGCTATATAGTGAGACCCTGTCTCAAAGACAAACACAAAACAAAAGAAAAGAAAAACAGGGTCAGTCATTGAGTAATTGTGTTAGTCAACTTTTAGTCACTATATCAAAACTCCTGAGATAATTTATAAAGAGAAGAGTTTTATTTTGGCTTATGGTTTCAGAGATTACAGTCTGTAGCTAAGTAAATCCATTGCTGTGGGCCTCTGGTAGGGATGCCAAACAGCAATAAGCTGGAAAAAACTGCTCACTCCATAGTCAGAAAGCAAAAGAAAGAAAGAAATGCACTGGGGCTTCCACAATCCCCTTTGAAGCCATGTCCCCAATGATCTAAAGATCTGCTGCTGGACTCCACCTCTTAAAGGTCTCACCACACCCTATAGCATCACCCTGAGAACCAAGACTTTAACAAACACACGGGGCCCTGGGGGACATTTATGATCCAACTCATAGCAATGATGAAACTGCTTTCTCACATAGGTGTCCCTAGTGGGCTTCCTGTTTCTCTTGGGTTTGTACATCTCATCCCTGGCCTCCTGTATGGGAGGACTCTATGGAGCCCCCCGGATCCTGCAGTGCATTGCCCAGGAGAAAGTGATTCCTGCACTCGCCTGTCTGGGGCAAGGGGTGAGTGACTTTTTTTTTTCTTCTGGAGAAACATTAAGACACTTTCCTGATTAGAGCCTGTGGTTAAGTCCTCTCACGTGGGACAAAGGGCAATGCAGAGGTTATTTCTTCCAGCCCTGTCCTCTGGCTGGCTTAGGTGGGGGGCAATTAGAAGAAGCATCTTAAATATCACAACTGCCTGGGCTCCCTTGCTCTAGAATAGCTAAGCAGTCATGGTCACATCTTGGACCCTAAGCAGCAGCAAAATGGAGTGTCCTATCCTTTAATAAAAACAGAATCAGGATCCTACAAGTTTAGCACAGAGAAAAGAATCTGTTGGTTAGAGGAGAGCTGGTCCTTGCAGGTCTAATTCCCCCTACAAGTTCCCCGTGCCCTGGGTAGTGGGGAGGGCTGCTGTTCAGTGATTTCCCATGGTCTGGGCTCCCTGATAACCCTCATGGGCCAAACTTTAACTGATACTGAGTAGCTTGATTGAGTCATGGCTGGGACAATGATTAAAAGAGACTTTCCTAAAACCTATGGAATCACAGAAGAGAAATTGGCACCAGAATTCCACTTCTCTATAATGTGGTTTGCAAGGTGTCATTTGTTTTTGTCCTGTTGGGGTAACACAGAGGCCCTCTCTAATCCCTTCTGATTCCCAGCCTCCCTCTTGGGAGGGCACATGTAAGCCATTCATATTTCCACCCTTCACCGTCTTCCTCTCCTGTTTTGTTCTCTACGACCTTCCGTATATGATTTGCCTTTATTTTATCTATCATTTCATTTATTTGTTATAAAGTGAAATGAGCACAGGGTTCAAAACTAAAAATGATGTAAAAGGAATACATCAAGGGTTTGTGCTCCTATCATGCATCTTTTTACCTATTTTCCCCCATACCCAGCCCTGTCCTTTAGTCACTGTTTTTCTTAATGAATCCTTCTCAATCCCATTTTTGCCCAAAAGATAGTGATCTTAGTCTGTATTGTGAAAAATTTTCAGCTTGCCTTTTTTCATGATAATATGGGTCATTTATTCAATCCCTATGGATTGCTGAATGGATAAAAATGCAGAAAAGCTTTCGCTTCTTTTTCCAGATATGTGCACAGACATAAATAAA